TAAAAAAAAAAAAAATTACTGGCAATCTGACGTCTCAAGGAATAAGACTTAAAGGAGATATTTAAGAGTTCCAAGGGAGGTTTTACGTAATAGAAATGTAAGTTTGTATAGCTTGGCAGATGTTGTTGTTAGGTGCCATTGAGTCAGTTCTGAGTCATAGCAACCTTATGTGTAACAGACCAAAAACTGACTGGTTCTGTAACATCCTCACAATAGCAGGTAAGAAAATAAAAAAAAAAAGCACAACTATTAAACATAAAGCCAGAGAAATGTCCAAGTCAAAAAGAACGGTGATATAAAGGCCATGGAAGGGTGATAGTTAAGGAAGGCCAAGAACATCCAATATACATACAGTTAGTATCTCAAAGAAAAGGAAAAAACAAATGGACCAGAAAGATAGACTGGACTTCACAGATTGAAAGGCCTATCACGCCCTAGGAAAAATCTATTGAGATCAATACCAAAATATTGATCTCAGGGATTAAAAAAAAAATCACTTGGAAATCCAGGCAGAAAATTGTTATACAAGAGATGATACATACTAGATTGCTATGAGTCAGAGTTGACTCATCAGCAAGTGATTTGGGTTTTGTTTGTTTGGGGAGATTTCCACTGAACTTGCAGGGAGGTTCTAGAACAGAGAGGCAGGAGATAACTGAGTGGCAGGCTTGGGTAATCATCTGGACAATAGGAAAAGCCCGGCTCTGAGTAGTGGCACTGTGGGAGAAGCAGGATCCAAGGGGTGGTGGTAGAGTGAGTAGCTATGCTTTAGAAGAGACTGAGCTGCAGGGGGCAAGTCTGTAACAGTGAGTCACTGAAGGCCTGGGAGGGAAATAAGAGACAGAAAAATTTTGTATAAGGGAGAAAATCAGACTGGCACCAGACAATTCTACAAAAACATTTATTACTAGAAGACCATGAAGCAATGTTCTACAGATGAAAAGGAAGATTCTGTAGCCACCCAAGGTGTGTGGTACTGTAGGACAAACACTGGACTGCTAACTGCAAGATCGGTGGTTCAAGCCCACCAGTCACTATAAGTCGCTATGAAATAAGCCGGAACCAAACAACAACACACAATAAAAACAACAAGGTGTCCTTTACGTATAAAGACAACAGGTAAAGCACCCATGATAAATTCACCAGGAAGGGATTAATAAAAACAAAGAATTAAAGCACAAATTGTGGTAAATAAAAAAGTGGTCAATTAAACACAGGATAAGATTAAATAAACATGAAACTCATAGCTTTTGAAAAGAATACAACTGTCATAAACTTTCACAAAGTGAAAAATAATAATAAAATGGGCATGTGGAAAGGAAGATTTCTTAAAAGAAGTACAAATGTGTTTACTTCCTCCAGGCAGCAGAAGTAGATAATTTGAGACTTAGGCTAAAAACAATTGCTGTATGCTTCAAGGCATTTCACTATCATCTCTTCTTAACTCTGGACAGAGTTTTAAATAATCCATTGTAATGGAAACAACATTTATCTCTTCATTAAAAAAAGAAAAACAAAAATACTGTTGTTGTTGTTGTTCTTAAGTGCCATCAAGTTAGTTCTGACCCATAGCGACCCTGTACAGGGTTACTGAGGAGTGGCTGGTGAGCTTGAACTGCCGACCTTGCTGTTGAAAGAAGCTTTGCAGTCCAGCACATTAGCCCACATCGTCACACCAAAACAAAGAAAGGCTTAAAAAAGACACATTTGGAAATAATACATTTTTTTCAAATATTTAATTTATTTATAATTAATGCATGTTCGGTGTCAAAACTGGAAAATACAGAAAAAGTGTTGGGAATGAACTATATATTGCTTTTTAAAACTCTTATGATGAACATGTTCCTGGGGTATTAAATATGCCCAGAAAATTCTGACTAGTGGTATAATATTCTGGATGATGGCTACATAATTAATGGTGTAGTCCTGTAGGATATGCACTTGCTAACCACAAGGCTGGCAGTTCAAACCCACCAGCTGCATCTTGGAACCCCTATATAGGATTGCTATGAGTTGGAATCAACTTGATGGCACTGGACAACAATAACAACAAATCATCCAGGTTGCTATCAATTTTTTTGCTGTTATAAATGTTGTTGCTAATGTTATGTGCTGTGGAGTCGGTTCCAACTCATAGCGACCCTGTACAGGGTTTCTGAGGCTGTAAATCTTTATGGGAACAGAAAGCCTCATCTGTCTCCCACGGAAAAGCTGGTGGTTTTGAACTGCTGACCCTGAAGTTAGCAGCCCGTTTCGTAACCGCTATGCTACCAGAGATGTTATAAACAGGGCTGCAATAAATATCATTAAGGGCTCTGGTAGCGTAGTGGTTACGAATCGGGCTGTGAGCCTCAAGGTCAGCAGTTCGAAACTACCAGCGGTTCCGTGGGAGAAAGATGAGGCTTTCTGCTCCCATAAAGATTTACAGCCTCGGAAACCCTGTACAGGGTCACTATGAGTCAGAACTGACTCCATGGCACATAACAACAACAACAACAAATATCATTAATACATAGGTCAACTCGAATCCTATTTTTTGGTATTAACAACCTCTCCCAATAGTAGAATTAGCAACAAATGTGTACTTTGCTAAGGTCACCACTCCCTGCTCTCACTTAACTTCTGCTCTGAGCCTCAATCATGATACCTGAAGGCTCAGACTTACCTAAATTCCCAGAATAGGCAGCTTTCGCTTTTCACAAAATAGCTCCACAGCTGCAAGGTCCACTTTGGTCTCCTTTCCTGGTTCTTTTTCTAGGAAACATTCTTCTCTTGTAAACCCTTGGGGAAGGCTAGAGCCCTGCCTTGCCCTTGCCAGCAGGGACTGGAATTGTGCCCTTGATCCTCAGCCCAGACACTTCTTTGTGTATTTGAGAAAAGGGCTGCAGGAGGCTTTATTTTAATCACTGACAGTGAGAGGCCACTTGGTCAGATCCACTTTGGCAGCAAGTGGTTTTCTTGGTTTCAGTAGCAGGCAGGCCCTTACTGGTGGGTCTCAGAATAGAGGAGGTTTAATTACCAACATGACTTCAACAGTCCCAGATTCTACTGTGTGTCTTTTCACTGTATGATTTGCATGTATTTACTGGAAGCCTACAGACTTTCAGGAACTGCAAGCAAGCAGTCTCATTTGTGTTTCCTAGAAGGTATTGGATTCTATTTCCTTGTTCAGCTAAAATTAGTCTGTAAAAAGTCTTTGGCTTTTTAATGCTACACTGATGTTAAGGCAAGCACTGGAAGAAATGAAATTTTTATTGTGCTGAGACTTAAGGACTATGGAGTCAAATTAGAGAATGGCAAAATTTACAGATATAGAAAAATCCTTCCAGACCTAAGTACTCATTTTGAATTCTCTAGAAGATGAAAAATAACTATGCAAGCCAGGGATCCAAATTGTTTTATCTAATTAAAGAAATTGAAAACAATTTCACTTAGGGTTATTATGAGTTGGCGACCCTAACAACAACAAATCATTCAATGGCCTGGTGGGGGTGGGAGAAATTAAATGCAAAATACCTATCAAATATAATGCTTACATCCTGATTTGAACAAAGCAATTACAAAAAGTTATTTTTGAGCTAACTGGAAAAATTTTAATATTAACTATATGGTACATGATACCAAGAAAGTAATGTTAATTTTGTTAAATGTGATAATAATGGCATTGTGGCTACATGAAAAAACTGCCCAACATCTGATGAGATGCCTGCCTAACTATATTGTTGATGCTAAGTGTTCAAGAGAAAAGATGTCAGCTTAAGGACTAAGGTATGCCTGACCCAAGTTATGGTATTTTCAGTATCTTCATATGCACATGAAAGTTGGACAATGAATAAGAAAGACTGTAGACAAATTTATGCATTTGAGGTAAGGTGTTGGAGAAAAATATTAGAACTACCACGACTGCTAGAAGAAAAAACAAATCTGTGTTAGAAAACGTACAACCAGAACATTCCTTAGACACAAGGATGGCAAGACTTCATCTCTCATTCTTCACACATATTATCAAGAAAGAGGTCCAGTCCCTAGAGAGGGACATCACGCTTAGTAAAGTGGAGGGTAAGTGAAAAAGAGGAAGAACCCAATGTGATGGACTGCCACAGTGGCAGCAGCAATGGGTTGAAGTTTAACAATGACTGTGAGGATGGCACAGGACAGGGCAGTGTTTAGTTCTGTTAGGCATTAGGTCACTGGGAGTTGGAATCGACTCAACAGTACCTAAGAACAGCAATTTCTCGTACAAAGCCACCGCGCTACCCAAACCTACACGAACCTGGTGATATATCTGATGACTAGAGTTTTCTTTAAAATAGTTGACACACACATACAAAAGGAAGTGGGATAACTGAAGCAAGTTATAATTGCTGAGTTTAGGAAAAAGGCATATGGGGATTTGTAAAACCATTTTCTAAACTTTTGTGTATTTTTGAGAGAGTCTCATGATAAACTTTTCTTTTAATACTAGAGACACAGCTATCTTTAAGACACAACACCTGAACAAAAGTTGTTGTTGTTGTTGTTAAGTGCCGTCGAGTCGGTTCCGACCCATAGCGACCCTGTACAGAGTTTCCGAGGCTGTAAATGTTTACGGGAGCAGAAAGCCTGATCTTTCTCCCACGGAGCAAGAAAGTTAAGTTTATTTGCATTGCACTGGTACTTAAAATATACAAATGTGAAAGAAATTATTTTAAGTAGGTTTTCCAAATAAGATATTTTTACCCACCCACAAATTTTATGGTTCTTTTGAGTGTACTACTGCACACTTAAAGGAGCTCTGGTAGCATAGTGGTTACGAATCAGGCTGCGAATCTTCAGGTCAGCAGTTCAAACTACCAGCTGTTCCATGGGAGAAAAATGAGGCATCCTGCTCCTGTAAAGATTTACAGCCTCGGAAACCCTGTACAGGGTCGCCATGAGTCAGAACTGACTCCACAGCACATAACCACCACCACTGCATATTTATTACCAATTAATTTCTATACTGTTAAAAGATTAATTACCTGTTATCAATAATCGTTACACTGGAGGACGGAATTCCCAACACTTCGCAGCTCTGCACAAGTTCTTTCTTACGAATCTCTCCTTGATTGTAGTAATTTCCTAAGAACAACACAGGAGTGATGGGAAATTTCTCTAACACAGAAAGCTTATTTATTCATTAATTCTTATCCTGTCTTGTCTCATAAGGGATTTAACTTATAGTTATGATAAAAAGGTAAAGAAAATACAAAATTAAGGTTACTTATCAGGTAAGGAGCTATGGTAGTGTAGTGGTTACAAATCGAGCTGCTAACCTCAAGGTCGGCAGTTCGAAACTACCAGCTGTTCCGCGGGAGAAAGATGAGGCTTTCTGCTCCCGTAAAGATTTACAGCCTCAGAAACTCTATGCAGGGTTACTGTGAGTTAGAACCGACTCCATGGCACACTACCACCACCACCACCATCAGGTAACTGCTGTGATACTTCCAGTAGCAAAGCCTGTATAGAATCACTATTTGCAATCTACCCTTTATGCAGGTGTGTATCTATCTATCTATCTATCTATCTATCTATCTATCTATCTATCTATCTATATATGTTGTTGTTGTTGTTGTTAAGTACCGTGGAGTCGGTTCCATGTCCTTTGTGGTTAAGTGTTATTGTGTTGGTTCTGACTTGTAGCAAGACTGAAGCTAATAAAGACGATTTTAAAGAATGCATAGTAATGAGGGCTGAATCTCGGATTTACCAACATGATTCAGAGAGCAAGGTCCAATTAAAACAGTGGTTTCTGAGGGCATCTTCAGGGCCAGTTAAATTCAAGGCAGAGAAGTCAGCTCAGACTGCTGTGGTGACTGTGTTTTGGGACCCTAATGGGATAATCTTCATAGCTTTTCTCCAAGGACACAGGATAGTTAAAGTTAGATATCATGAAAACATTTAAAAATTGAAAACTGTACTGATGAGAAAAGGTGAGGAAAATTGTATAGCCTCACCAACACTTGGTATTTTCCAGATTGGTTTTTTTTTTTTTAATCTTGGCTATCCTAGTGAGAGCAAAATGATTATGTCATTGTTCTTTCGCTTTGTATCTCTATGATGGTTAATCTTTTTATGTGTCTGGTGTCCATCTGCATGTCCTCTGATGAAATGTCTATTCAAGTTCTTTAGCTATTTTATGATTTAGTCATTTGTCTTTTGGTTAAGCTGCTGGAGTTTTGTATATATTTTTGGTTATTAGATTCTTATCAGGTATAAGGCTGTGACATTTAGGTACATAACATTTGTTGTTATGGTTAAGCATCATCAAGTCGATTCTGACTGATAGTGACCCTGTATAGGATTTCTGAGGAATGTCTGGTAGGTTTGAACTGCTGACCTTGTGGTTAGTAGTCCACTGTTATTGTTATGTGCCGTGGAGTCGGTTCCGACTCATAGCGACCCTGTACAGGGTTTCCGAGGCTGTAAATCTTTACGGGAACAGAAAGCCTCATCTTTCTCCCATGGAACAGCTGGTAGTTCGAACTGCTGACCTTGTGGTTCGCAGCCCGATTTGTAACCACTACGCTACCAGAGCTCCATTAAGGAATCAATAATCTGATCACAGAGAAATGTTCATACTTATGAGCAGAATACTGGAAATGACTATTTGCCAGGACAATAGGTTTTCCAGAGGAAGCAGCATTTGATCTAGACTATGAAGATGATTCATAATTCAGGCAGAAAGGAAGAAGAGGAGGAAAAGGTGAAGACAAAGATTTCAGGGAAAGAGCAAACTATCAGTACCTTATGTGTCAGGTATCAGACAAGGTGCTTTGGTATTGCAAGTATCTTTAATTATGACTTATTTGAGTTATAGCAAACTGCACTTAGGACCACCTGTTTTGCGTTTGTTTGTTTTGGGTCCATCTTAGCATTGATAATACGTCCTATATACAGTATTGCAGCATGTAATTTGTTGATGGTATCATTCTTAGATGGTAAATGTTAGGATTTATAATGATACCGATAAAAAAAAAAAGGCAACAATTAGACATATCAGAACCAACTTAACGATGGAGTCAGAAAAGAACCCCATCGTAAGTTAGGGACTACCTGTACTATCTCATATACTCCGAGGCAAGCCTTTGAAATTGCTATTATCCTCACTTGGCAGGTGAATAAACTAGGGCTGAGGAAAAAGAAGTAACTTGCACAAATTACACATGCAGCTATTTTCTGGAGAGTTTAATGAAGGGGTGCATTGGTTAGATCATTGCACCTCAGTACAGTTTAAGTGTTACCAAACTTCACTGCATATTATTTGTAAGGATACAAAACCCGCTGCTATCGAGCCAGTTTCGACTCATAGCAACCGTATAACACAGAGTAGAACTGCCCCATAAATCTTTACAGAAGCACACCACTACCACATCTTTCCCCCACGGAGCTGCTGGTGGGTTAGAACCAATGACCTTTTGGCTAGCAGCCAAGCAGTTTAAGCACACTGTTCCATGAGGGCTCAGAAGAGCTAAATGTATTTGCTAGAACTGTTCTTATGGAGTGTAATCTATGTGTTTGGGGGAAAAAGAATGTATCTGGGATGTTGGTGTGGTTTGGATTCCTCAGGGACAAGCTGTGGCAGCTGGTTGCTCAACTGTCTAAAAGAGAATGCTTTTCTGAATGAGACCTGTGAATTTTTCTAGAATACCTAAGGGTATCAGCCTCTTATTTAATTAAGTGCTAAACAGATAGTTAATGACTATAGTTTAAAGGGGTCCAAACTAAGTGTAGAGTCCTGGTGTGGCAGTGTGGGTTAATGCGCTGGGCTGCAAGATGAGTTTGAACAGCAAGGTCGGCAGTCCCAGCTCCTTGGAAACCCTATATAGGGTCGCCAGGAGTTGGAACTGAGTCAATGGCACTTAACAAGAACAAAACTAAGTGTATCTAGGCATCCCCTTAAGTCACTATTCTACATCTGTTTACTCCAAAGCCGGTACTTCTGCCCTCATTCCACACTGCCTCTAGCATAGCAGATACATGAGAGTAACTAGAAAAGTATTGCCACGAAATCATAGAAGCCGTTACTAAACAAAAATGTCAGCATATTTCTCAACATATTCTCAATCTAAGTGTATGTTTCCATCTCTCTGATCCTTCTGCAAAGAATTCTGCACTCTTTAATCTATACCGCATCTAAATGGCAGTTTGGGCATCCCTGAAGGACTCAAATCATATTTCTTTTAAACGTTCTTTCCATTTGGAGAACAAAAAGAAGTCTGAAGAGGATAGATTAGAGATAAAGTTTCCCAACAAAATTCTCTCAGGACATTATGCTGAGTGAAATAAGTCAATCACAACACGGTAAGTATTACATGACCTCACTTGTATAGATACCAATGTTTACTAATGGAGTCCTGGTGTGGCGCTGTGAGCGAATGCATCAGTCCTTTGAACCGCAAGGTCTGTGGTTCAAGCTCACCAACTGCTCCTTGGAAACCCTATACAGGGTAGTTATGGGTCGGAATCCACTCGGTAGCACTTAACAATAACAACAATGGAGGGGAGGGGGCAAACCCAGGGGGCAGTGGTTAACAGGGATGGAAAAATCATATCAATTAAGACAGGGTTGCACAGCTGATTACAGTGATTGCTGCCAATAAATGCTACAACCATTAAAAAAAAAAAGGAGCTGCGGAGGCTGCTTAGGTGCAAGCATACACTTCATGGGATTTGTTTCCTTGGTTTGGAGATTTAGAGTTATGGTTTCATGGGACATCCCAGTTTGCCTAACAACTTGTTTACAGCTTCTGTTTTACCTCCTAATTTGTTGTGTAGTGCCTGGGGTCTTAAAAGTTTGCATGTGGTCATCCAGCAGATAACAATTGGCCTGCGGTAAGAAAGGCAGGAAGGAGCTCTGGTAGCATTGTGGTTACGAATTGGGCTGCTAATCTCACAGTCAGTAGCTCGAGGCTTTCTGCTCCCGTAAAGATGTAAACAACAACAAGAGAGAAAGGAGAGTCAGGAATAGGAGGGGGATATGGAATGTGAGGCTAATTGCCTCCATGAACAACAACCTACTTCCTTTGCCTTGAGACCAGAACTGGTTGGTACCTTTACTAACATTTTGATGAAGAATCCTGATGAAAAGGGAGAAAATATAAAACAGGATTTTAAATTCTCATGGAATCCAAGGCAGTTGGGTGAAAACTTATAGAAGAATTGATACAAGTGAATTGTAGTGTGGAAGAAAAATATTAAAAGTACCATGAGCCGACAAATCTGTGCTAGAAGTATATAATACAGACAGAATACTCCTTAGAAGCCAGGCTGGTGAAATGTGTATCATATTTGGGACATGTTATTAGGAGAGACTACTCTATGGAGAAGGATATCATACTTGTGGAGGTCAGCGTGAAAAAGAGGAAGACCCCCAATAAGATGGATTGACACAGTGGCAGCAGCAATGGGTTCAAATGTAAACAACAAGTGTGAGGATGGCATAGGACCGGGCAGTGTTTCGTTCTGTTGCTGTGAGTTGGAAACAACTCCACAGCACCTAACAAAACCCACCCACACTTTGAGGCCTGATGTGGATAAACACTGGAATAGTAATTGAGAGGTTGTATTGCGTTGCTCAGTGCTGTGTAATTGTTTTGACTTATAGTAGTAGCAGTAGTCCGAGTCCTGGTGTGGCGCTGTTGGTTAATGCGCTAGACTGCAAAGTCAGTTTGAACTGTAAGGTTGGTGGTTCAATCTCACTAGCCGCTCCTTGGAAACCTTCTAGAGGGTCGCTATGGGTTGGAAACGACTCGACGGCACCTAACAACAACAACAAGTAGCAGTAATTAAGTGCCATCAAGTCTGTTCACAGTGACTCATAGGGACCCTGTATAGTTTCTGAGGAGCAGTTGGTGAGTTTGAACTGCTGACCTTGCTGACCTTGCAGTTAGCAGTCCAGTGCTTATCCTACTGCTCCATACCAGGACTCCTAGTGACCCTGTATACAGGGTCATATATCTGAGGCTGCAAATCTTTGTGGAAGCAGAGAGCCTCATCTTTCTCCTGCGGAGCAGCTGGTGGGCTCAAACTACCAACCTGTAGTTCCAAGTTGAGTGTTTATCCTTAAGAGCCACTATGCATAAAGTTCTGTTTTCTCATTTGATCTTTTCTGTATTTAAGAGAAAGGACCCTTCAATGAAGGTTTGGTAGAGTTGAACAAAATTACTTATAAAGTTACTTTCTAGTCTTGGTGTCGCACTGTGGGTTAGTTAATGCGCTGGACTGCAAAATCGGTTTGTACAGCAAGGTAGCAGGTTCAATTAAGCTCACCAGCTGCTCCTCTGAAACCCTACACTGGGTCACTATGGGCTGGAACCGAATCGATGGCACTTAACAACAGTCTAATGATCTATGAATGTACCTCTTCAATCTGACACATGCATTTTTTTACACCAAAAACATTTGAAAAGTAGCTGGAAGGTCAATTGCTATCACCATAAGTAAAACTAAGACTTGAGCAGGCACTATACAGTATAGTCTGTTTGGTGTACTATGTTGTTGTTGTGTGCCGCAGAGTCGGTTCCGACTCATAGCGACCCTGTACAGGGTTTCCAAGGCTGTTACGAATCGGGCTGCGAACCGCAAGGTCAGCTAGTAGTTTCCAACTGCTGACCCTGAAGTTGTTGTTGTTGTTGTTACGTGCCGTCGAGTCGGTTCCGACCCATAGCGACCCTGTACAGGGTTTCCGAGGGTGTAAATCTTTACGGGAGTAGAAAGCCTCATCTTTCTCCCGCGGAGCCGCTGGTAGTTTCGAACCGCTGATCTTAAGGTTCGCAGCCCGATTCGTAACCACTACGCTACCAGACCCTGAAGTTAGCAGCCTGATTTGTAATCACTACGCTACCAGAGTGAGAGGATTATTCTGGGTCCTGCAAACAAAAAGCTTCCAAAATGTGAGTACACTCGCTGTTCTCAACAGAAATGCAAGTATTGAATGCAGCTAATTATGAGTTGTTTTCTTCTGCTCAATCCTGCAAGCAGAATAGTGGAGTAAAATAAACTGTCTCAATACACCGGATCTTGTTCCCAGTCTGTAGTTCCCGATTTTCTGGGAAGAGATGCTTGAAGGGACCGTCAATATATTTACTTAGCTTTCTACACCAGAAAACCCACCGGGAAGGTGGCTGAGGTCGCTTAGTACAGTCCCAGCCCCCAGATCCCCGACCACAGCCGCCTACCTGTGGAGAAGCAGAGTAGGGACACCTGGTGCCGCAGGCGGGCCAACCCTAGCAATGTGGGAGCAAAGAACATGGCTTCATCGTCGGGGTGCGCGATGACCAGGAGAGTCTGGCTCTCGGTTCTTAGCCTGCCTGTCTGCTCCCGACTCTTTATTTCCAAGGAGTCCAAAGCCCACAGTAAGCCCCATGCCAACAATGTCACAGCTAAACACAGTAGAATCACTATGTCCATGCTCAGTGTCACTGCGCCTGCGCGATAAGGGGGCTACTGTTCCATCAGACTCCGGCGGGAAAACTGAGCCACAAGAAACTGAGTTCCGTCGGACCAGCTTACGTAAACCACGGGTTTCTCCTGCGGGTCTTGGAGTGGAATATAACTCTGAATCCCCCAAACACGTTTTCATAGAGTTCTCTCCACTTTTCGCAGTATTTTAAAATGTCTTCTTGTTGCTTGCTCGATTTCAGAGCTGAACGGAACCGCATGTCGTCCACTTTTCTCTCCTTGTCCTATCTTACATTGCTGTGTGCCATCGAGTGGATTCCAAGTCCGTGACCCTAAGTGACACCGTGGAACTGCCTGGCCTCATAATGTTTACTAGGCTGTAACCTTTATGGGAACAGATCGCCAGATCTTTTTCCCCATAAAGCAACTAGTGGGTTACAATCATCAACCTTCCGAGTGCTTAACCACTACGCCACCAGGGCTCCTTACAATGTTGTTGTTGTGTGCCGTGGGGTCGGTTCCAACTCATACCGACCCTGTACAGGGTTTCCAAGGCTGTAAATCTTTATGGAAGCCGAAAGCCTCATCTTTCACCCGCGGAACAGCTGGTAGGTCCTTAAAACACGATGAGTTTAAAGGGTAATGTTATAAACATCGTGTAGGATGAGTTTCCTTCTCTAAGTCACAATTTTATAAATCATTTATTAAAACTAGGGGCTTTCTCGTAATTATATGGCTAGACAGGTCTTCTCTGCATATGTTTTCTAAAACAGAAACGCCTAGTTTGTTTTTCCTTCTTAATTTTGGGCTGTGGAGTAGTGGCTTTTCTAAAGGAAAAGTGGTTGCGAGAAACCATCCAGTCATTTCATTTGCTAAGTGCCTTCGAGTCGCCTCCGACTCATTGGGTTCCTGAGGAGCAGTTAGTGGGTTTGAACCGCCAATCTTGCGGTTCAAACCGACCTTGCAATCGAGCGTTTATCTTTCTTACAGTGCCACGCCAGGACTCCAGTCATTTCACAATAAGAGTAAAAATGAGTGTACACTTCCTAGTCGCGAGGGTCACGGGTCCCTTCAGATTAGGGAGCGACATTGTTTCAAGTCGGCATTTCAATCGCCTGTCACATCAAAGACGTTTTGGTAAGGATCACAGCCCGAACCCTAGCAAACATCATAGGTAGGTCGACCTGCAGCCCCTCTGGATCCTAGTGGGGATTTGGCTTCCTCCCTGCAGCCCAGGGTCTCAGGTGACCGCCGCCGTTCGCCATGCCGCGGAGGGGACGCAGGGCCCGCGGCAAGGCCTTGAGCCCTTCCTTTTCCCACGCCCTGGGGAAGGCCCGGAGCGCGCCGGGCAGTGTAGGCTCGCGGCGGATGCGACGTGCGCAGTGCACGATGGCGGCCGCACTGGATTCCGCTGAGCACAGCTCTGCCGTGACCCGCTTGTGTTGGAAGGGGATATTTTTGTTGCCGCCGTCAGGCCGAAAGGATAGGTAAGGGGACGAGGCGCGCTACGACCTAGAAAGCGGTCCTGAGGTAGAAGCCGCGCTTGGCCAGCGGAGGGAGTTGGTCTCTCAAGCCTCCGGAAGGAGGAGGAGCCGGCGCAGGAGCCGCCTTAGCAGCGACCGCCCGGGCTAGTGGGAGGGAAAGGGGTTGAGTCAAGATGGCGGCCGAGGTGGCGAAGCAGCAGCAGCGGCGGCGGCGGCGGCGGCGGCTAGAGTGAGCACCCGGCTGGGCTGCGCCGAACGAGGTCCCGGGGGTGAGGACGCGCGCCTGGGCCGCGTCGTGCTCCTCAAGCCGGGGGACGCGCCAGTTCTCACGCTCCGCCAGCTCCCGGTAAGTAGGCCCCGGCGCCCTCAGCCCGGCCTCCGGGTCCCTGCTAGCCCTGAGGCTTCCGAGGACTCTTAGGACACCGGCCTTTGGGCCGCTTCTGCTCTGGGCGATGGACGACGCGGCCCCAACCAGGTCGGGACTTGCCCCAGGCGTTCGGCCTTTTCCGCCCGGCTGTCTCTGGGGCTGGTAGGGCACGTCAGGGACCTGGGGCTAGGGGAGTGGAGGCTTAAGAGTTTTGAGGAAGAAAGAAAGGACTGCGTCCGGGCTGGGGTCGAGAGAGGGTGTCCTGTGGGAGGGTGCGGCAGAGCCTGGAGAGCCGGCTGAAGGAGAGCCGGGTGGGGCCGGGCTAGGTGGCGGGCCTGGGCTAAATCCAAGACGGAGTTGGTGGCCGTTTTCGGAGTGTGGAAGGGATTTGGGAGGGTGGTAACGATAGACTGGTGCGTGAAGAGCAAACTAATTTACCCTCGTAACCACTTCGGCGTTTAATGGCAAGGAGTACCCACTGGTGGTGATGGCAAAGATTAGAGCTGATTTTTATTAGTATTTTAATGTGAGAAGTCGGGGAATGCACCTCTTTTTGAAGGAGGACGGATTTGAGAAACTACAATTGAGTAATGAGTCTTAATGGAAAGGAGAATGAATCCTTTGAGTTACCTGTTAGCTATAGCCGTGTATAAGTATTAAAAGATAGTGAAAATAAACGTTATCTATGAAAAGTATTTGCTTAGGATGTGCCTGTTTCCTCTGTGATGTTGCCTGCCACAGCGCGGCTTCAACAGCGTTAACCTTGGAGAGTAGTGTTATGGGTAATTTTCATCTTTGGTGTTATTGTATTTACCTGAATCCGATTTGCCTCCCTAATTATTTTATCCTAATTATATTGAAGTGTACATTGTGTGCACACGGTGAGGCCACGAAGGGAGGCGAAACATGTGCAAAGAGCAACAGGCCTGGAGTTTTAAAGTGCCTAAAAATATTCATTCATTCATTTCTTCAACATACTTTGATCAAACAGCTGCTAATGTATGTGATTGCCCTGTGGGTGATTGAAGGGCTGATGACATTGCATAGTTGGTTTTTTTGTGTGTACATTACATAGTTTCAAATAGGTTTTTGCAAGTGTTTTTGTGTACCCTTTCATAATAGTCTTCACTGGATGAACCAACTTGTATTTCGAGAGGTTGAGTAGCAGGCCAATTTTAGTGTCTTATTTTGACTTAGTAAAAATTACAGAAAAAATATCCACAACATGGTGGGGAGATAAATACTGTGTTTTATTTCCTCATTCTGTTAAAATTCAGTGAAAGTTTATTTATTTATTTAAATATTTATAGCCCACAGTTGCTTTGCCCTGCTTGAAATACACCTGTTAATGGAAATCAAAGTTAATATTTATATATATCCAGGAATCTACTTGATGGCGACTGGCAAACAATATTTAACTATAGATTAGTAGGTGCATTAGGAAGTGATTACTTGCAATATAAAAACATTCTTCCTTTTTACAAAAGGCATATCATAATTGGAAAATATAACAGGATGGATCCTGATTTTTCCTCTAACTATGTGACATGGAAGATGATCAAACTTCTGTGCTTTAATTTCCTCATTTATAATGTTAGGAAAACATCTGGTTTCCTAATGTTCCTTGTTGTGAGTCCCACTGCCATTGATTTGAGTCTGACTCATAGCAACCTTATAGGTATTGCTGATGAAATCTTTATGAAAGTGGACAGCCTCATCGTTCTCCCATGGAGGGGCTGGTGGGTTTGAACCAGGGCGCCTTTAGAGGAGCCAGGAGTTGATGATAAACAATTTGAAATAATTATGTTTCTGTAATGTAGTAGCAGCCTCCTCTGCACTCCTCTGGTTCTTTGTCTAAATATTTCTCATGGCACTTACACTTTTATTATAAGTATGTTGTTGTTGTTGTTATGTGCCGTGGAGTCGGTTCTGACTCATATCGACCCTGTACAGGGTTTCCGAGGCTTTAAATCTTCATGGGAGCAGAATGCCTCATCTTTCTCCCGCGAAACAGCTGGTAGTTTAGAACTGGTGACCTTGCGGTTCACAGCCCCGAGTTGTAACCACTCCGCTACCAGAGCTCCTTATAAGTATTTATGTAAGTACTTTATCCTTTCTTGAGGTCAGTGTAGGCCCTGTATTTAATTTTATTTTTATATTTAATGTAACATGTAGAAATTTTTTTCCTTGTGTAGGATATTGATTTTTAGGCTACTGTATCTGTTGAATAATAAACAGGATTCTAATTAGAAAAACATGTTCACATTAACAGGTTAGCAGACTACACCTGTTATCTGCTGAGACATACATTCTCTTATACAGCTGTGCTTCTCTTCATGACCTCTAGAGGAATACATTTGATATTCGTGGTTATCATTGGAAGTCTTGTTAGATTTAATCATATAGTAAAACTTAAAGAGCTTCCCATGACCTTTTTAATTAAAAAGTATGCAATTCTGAAAATTAAATTGTAGTTTTAAAAATTTAACTGAGGAAAATCTTGTCTTAGGCACATTTAGATCAGTCAAAGCATTTTCTTCAAATTTGTGAAGTGATGACAAGATTGTCTTGCTATTGCTGTCTGCTGTGGAAAGAAAGCAAAAGCCTTTTGATGTAGATGAATGAAAGACTGACTTGGTTCTTTGTTTTTGTTAATCAGTTTTAATTGTATTTTGTGATGTTTCTTAGTTGTAGTTTTAATTTCTTGATGCCTGGTCTCACATATCTAGTTACTTTCATATTCTCTTTTATATTTACAGATGCTGGATTTTATTAGAATATGGTACAATGCAAGTAGTAGAGGTTGATCAGAATTTATTGTATACAGACTTATTTATAGATTACAAAGTAATGTATTTTAGTTCACTCACTTGTATACATTCTTTTATGTACATTATTAAATACTTTAAAGGTAGAAGGCATAGTCTAGCAGATCAATTATGTGCATAAATAAATCGGCCTCCAGATTGCCTGATGATTTATCCTTTTTAGGTTTGAGTATACGAAAAGTACGTTGAGATAGAAAAAGAAACAAAATACTTACCTAAATATCTATCAGGGTTTAGGACTCTTGGGGGGAAAAAACTATGAAAATCTTCTGTAATGTAGCAATAACTGTATGTAGAGCATCTGTTTTTTATTTTGGTATTCTTGTGGTG